ACCAATCGAGCATTAAAACTGATGAAAAAGAGAAGGACAGTGAAGGAACAAAAAAGCGACACGGTCACCCGATTCAGATTGTTTGCTCGGCGAACCAATAACGTGGGTGACGATGCTTGCGAACCACTCCCCCGTCGAGGGTTCGAACGTTCGCCCACTCGGTACGCCCACGCCGTCACCTGTGACCAAGCGAACAATTTCAGCCACTCCACTTTTGCGGCTGAACGATCGTTATTGCGTATTGCGAATTTCAAAGCGACGGAGAATCAACCCCTATTCCCCCATGATTCGGGACGATTTTGTTCAACGTTTCCGGAAAGTTTTATGAAATAATCGTGTAGGGAGAAGAATGGTAATTAACATTAGCAAAGGCGGTTACTGATGAACGAACTTTACAAGATAGTTTAATTTACAAAAAATATTTTTCTTGGTTGACCTTTCAACCCCTATTCCCGATGATTCAGGACGATTTTGTTAAACGTTTCCGGAAATTTTTATGAAATAATCGTGTAGGGAGAAGAATGGTAATTAACATTAGCAAGTGGTTACCTATGAACAAACTTTACAAGATAGTTTAGTTTACAAAAAATATTTTTCTTGGTTGACTTTTCAACCCTTATTCCCGATGATTCGGGACGATTTTGTTCAACGTTTCCGGAAATTTTTATGGAACAATCATGTAGGGAGAAGAATGGTAATTAACATTAGCAAGATTGATTACCGATGAACGAACTTTACAAGATAGTTTAGTTTACAAAAAATATTTTTCTTGATTAACCTTTCAACCCCTATTTCCGATGATTCGAGACGATTTTGTTCAACGTTTCCGTAAATTTTTATGGAACAATCATGTTGGGAGAAGAATGGTAATTAACATTAGCAAGGGTGGTTATCGATGAACGAACTTTACAAGATAGTTTAATTTACAAAAAACAATTCTCTTGATTGATCTTCCAAACCCTATTTTCAATTCTTACGCAGAATGATAGTACTATTTTTAATTCGCCGTAATTAGTACCGGTAGATTCGTACATAATTCGAGGGTACATTTCCGAATGACTTCGATTCCCAGAGTGGATCGAAGATAGGAAATAATTAACAACGCTGCAGGCGTCCGGCCATTAATATTATATCTCACAGATGCTACGATCGCTCTGTGCGATGAAGCTGTCAGAGGAGTTGCTCGATTTTTCTGAATCGACTCCAGGAAGCGGAACGATTTTCTAAAACTTTCTAACCCGAGCGTGTGCCCGGCTCGTTAAAGGATTCATTATGAAATTCGCGAGCTCCCTCGGATGGTATGTTATTATTGCCACGAGGCTTGCATAAAGTGAACCGCGGAGATCGGTATCGGACGCAGTGTAACAGGAACGTGCATCGAGTATCCGTGATCCACTTCTAATTGGAATTCGAGTGGTTCGAGCCGCGGCTCCTGCGATGTTCCCAGTGAAACTCGGAGATTCCTGAACGCGACAGTTCGGTCGACTCGAGTCCGATCGCGGACGTCTTCGACCGACTCTAAACAAGTTTAAAACTCGAACGAGAGGATACAATGAACGAAAAGCTTCCTGTTTCTCGGCGTTAACCTGTTAATCGGGGATGACCGGTCTTCTCGTCTCATTCGATTTACGTGAAAACACTTCGTTATTTTCTCCGTTCGACCCGTAATTGCTACGCGTTATTACGTCAGACGATTCATGCGCCGGCGTAGACGAGCTCCGATCACGTTTATTGCGACAAATTCTTCGTCGCGTTAATTTTATTCGCCGCGTCCCCTCGCGTATTTACGATTAGAAAATACTCCCTGCGCGGCTCGTTAAGTGATCCTAATGGCAACAGTTCTGGCACCCGCGGGATGTTCCGGGAACGGCGCAGAAGTAATTGCCATGGATTCTGGTCGTTCGAATCGCCGTGGAAGAAGATATTCTCGCAGGATGTCAACAGGTTTCTCGTCTCGTCGGCGGAGACCACCAAAAGCAACGCGTTCTTAATTAGTGGAACGTAAAGACGGACATTATCGGCGCCCCCGGGGCGTCCGCTTAATCGTCCGCACCTCTTTTGGTAAGTCCGCTCGTGCATCAGCTGGCCGGCGAAGCGGAACTGCGAGGAACCGAGCGGCTGCCACTCCAGAACAGGTTGAACAGTTCGTTCCGTGGAATCCGCCGGCGCATCGGCTGCGTTTCCGTTCGATTTGCCGTTCGCTCGTGTCACCGGCGCACCGTTTCGCGAATAAATCATCCGACGGTTTCCCGTTCGGACCACCGGCCGAACGATACACAGATTTCTCGCCCGCGGAAGGCGAAACGTTCGTTTGAAAGTTAATAGAAACGTTCGAGATAAGTAAGCACCCGTGAACAGGAATCGATAGAGATTTAATGGGAACCTTAGATTATTTATTATCGTAGAGGATAATTATTGTAACAGAGGAAAAAGGAACGACGCTCCAGTTAGGACTGAATTACCGGTCCACCGTCGGCGAACGAGAAATCTAATACGCGCGAGGTGTGATTCAATGACTCCTTTTCGCCTCGAACAAACGCGATTTCTCTTTTGTTCCTACTCTGCCGGCACGTGCTGTCTGTAATACAATTCGAAATTGTACAATCGCTCGGAGAACAAGCCGAGAAAGCTGTGGGAAATAGATCCCGAGGGCTTCTTTCGTTCGTTTTACCCCTAGACGAGCGGCCGCTGGCCGCGAGCGCCGAGTTCTCCGGCTATCATTGCTCCGGGGGGTCTATCCGGCCAATAATTTTGATTGCACCGCATTCTGCAGTCTCGGAGCTGTACTACAAAGGCGTAAACAGCGGACTGATCGTTACCCGACAACACCTGGAATCCGCGGAATGTCTCTCGTAAATGCGGATAGCGATGATCTAGAAAATTTAGGCTGCGGTCATGTCGGACGTGTATTTGGACGAACGAAACTTCCGGCGAACCAGTCTATTCGTAAGTGAGAGATCGGCTAATATTGGAACTTGGATGCTAAACAACTTTTGTGGATATTTACCAAAACGGAAGTGATTAGGTGTGTACGCAAAAAAATTAATAAGAGTAGTTACCTAATGAGATCACAAATGTAGTGTTATTACAAAAAAATATCGAAAAATAACTATTGGAACTTGGATGCTAAACAACTTCCGTGGATATTTACCAAAAATGCGGAAGTGATTGTGTGTGTACGCAAAAAAATTAATAAGAGTAGTATGAGATCACAGATATTGTGTTATTACAAAAGAATATCGAAAAATAACATTTATTCAAATAAACTTACTTTGATTTATTTCTTGAAGAATATAGTAAGAAAATTATAATTGATACCGATAAACGGAAGCGCCTGCGCGCTCTCCGCAATTTTGGTACGACACAAGTAGAGCGCCGTAGCGCTTCAGCACTGAAACGGTTAAATAGGTTAAGCCACGAGAAGACTATTCATCTTATTTAAATAGGAGAAATCAATCAGTCCACATGTCTCGCGCTGACAGTCGGCGCAAACCTGAGATTAAATTAGAAGCGTAATGTTAGCATAGTGACGAGCTCCTGAATGTGTGCTGAAACGATTCCAAATTAGTCGTAATAACGTTGCAATTGCCCGTCGAAACGCAGCCTTGCGCGACGGCCACCTCGAATTCGTATTCCGTCGAAATCACGTGAATGGGAAGAGAGAGAGAGAGAGAGGGAGAACGAGCGGGGGGAAAAGAATTCCATTACCGGCGACACAATTGGGCGCGACGATCGGTTTGACCGGGTCTAAAAACCGTGATACTTTCTAGGCCAGGCTATCTATCTGAGAAAACGAGCGTCCATCATCCGCCGCGCTTCTTTTTTACTCGTGCCGGGGCCCGCGGACGACACGCGCGCCAGCAATTTCACTGGCGCATCGGTAATCGGCAAAAACCGGACGATCGACCTGATTATTTTGTTGTTGACCGCGCCGCGGGATCCATCGGAAGAAACGTGTGCACTCGAATCGAGCCGTCCTCGAAAACACGAGAGGCCCGAACGTCGATTTTTATCGGCGAAGTTGTCTTTCGTCGCCTGTATCGTGTGTTAATCGCAGGAAAAAGCTTGTATTCATTTGCGCCCAATCAATGCAAGTGCTTTCTCGCCTCGGTTTATCGGGAAGGATTACGATAGTATCAAAGTATCTTTCCAATTATGTTCACAGTTGATTATATTTGATTGTATTCACGTTACTCGACTTACAACGCCGTGGTGGACTCGTGATGGAAATTTTAAATTGAACGCGACAAATCTGAACGTCGTTTAGTTTCTTCGAATATAATTCCCTTATCAATCGTTAGCCTCTCGAGTGTGCGTAGACGTAGAGTCGGTATCAACTTCTATTCCGTTCCTAATCAATTATTGACGATAGTGGCTTTATCAAGCACAGTCGCGGAAGGAATCACGGGGCAAAGGTTAACATTTTTTAGATTCTATTCTCTAGACCGATGCTGTTTAGCACTCCAGATGGTT